TACAGTGGCCATGGATGTTCTGTAGGCTCTATAGTGGCCACGGATGTTCTGTGGGATCCACAGTGGGCACGGATGTTCTGTGGGCTCTACAGTGGGCACAGATGTTCTGTGGGCTCTACAGTGGCCATGGATGTTCTGTGGGCTCTACAGTGGCCCTGCTATTCGTTTCCTGCTGTTCATGACCATTAACATCCCTGACAGCATTTATTAAGCAAATTAATCTTCAAATCATGAGAAAGAAGCTAGAATTGCCTTTTGGGGAGAAATTTCCCGCAATTTTAAGGTAGGATGACCTCCAGCGTCTTGTCTTACGCTTGCTTGAATATGGAGAGCTACATATTAGAAGCTAAGATACCAGCTGGTTGTTTGGATTATGGTCGAGCCAGGGGCCTTAGCTATCTGTTCTGCACTGGAGAGGGAATTGAAATTTATTTGGAAAGCTGATTGGAACTCATCTCAAAGGAAATCTCAAAAGGTAATTAATAAAAAAGCATCGGCCCATTAGCCACAATCAGCAAGCTAATGAGCAATCCTAATTTCTAAAAATCAAGGAAAAACAAAAATCTCAATTTAAATGAACCCCGAGAGTCTGTTAGGAAAATGTGGCCCCATGAAGACCATGTTTCCAGGGGTTTTTCTGTTTAGTGGCACCTGGGAGAAATTCCTTTTACAAGTGTAGTGACTTGAGGAGGTTTTGTCCTGGATGGACCTGGCCTGTTTTCTTCTCCGACGCGGAGTGTGGGCACGGGACTGACAGCAGGGGCACCGCCCCATGGCTGAGGGGTGGCAGAGACGTGGCTGGTGGCTGCTGAGCGTTTGCTGAGAACTCTACCCATGGCCCTGGGGCCCAGGCTGTCTGGCAGCTCAGCCGGGCTTCCTGCTCCTTTGCAGGGACAACCCAGCCATCTTTAGCTCCCGGTTTTTTGGACGCAACGATGGATTCTTCCCTCTTGTTTATTCCCTTCCGTTACGAAACCACTGATTTTTCATTCTGTGCTCTTATTCTGTGGCCTTGATCTCATCATTCTGTTAAATCGGCGCCTTTTCCTACAAGCTACTTTAGCTCCATTGTCTCTAGACTGGGTGTCCGTGGCAAAGGAACCAATGACGGAGATGTTCCTAAATTCACGCCAACTTACGGGAACTGTAAGATTTCAGTAATATGCACGTAGGGAAGAAAGGTTCATGTGAAACAGCTCCATGGCCGGACAAGCCTCGGATGTGCGGATAAAGCCGAATCTAGTGGGTGTCCTTGCTGCAGCCCGTCCTGATGCTCTTCCTGGTGATGCGCGCTCACGCTGGTGCTGATGGTGGCTTAGAACAGAGGCAGTTTTACGCAGGTTATACTTGACTAGTGATTCCTTCCCGTCTGTGGCACCTGTGTTCTTTGGGACGCCCTTCGAGAAATGCTGGTCCGCACGTTGGGAGACAGAGGACTCCCGTCCAGGGCACAGGACGTCGAGTGGGATTCGGACCCGCCCCGCAGAATGGTGCTGCCCAGTTACCTGTGTTTTGTCGGAAGGCAAGGTATTTCTCTCCCCTTAAACTCACACGTGCTATCCAGGGGCCCTGGTGTGCAGGAATATGTCCATTGCCTTGGATTTTCGTCGAATGTGTGAGTCTCTCCCAACCCGCAACAGCGTTCCAGGGTCAGCCCTGCTTCTGAGGGGGCACGTTGCTTTGCAGACATGCCATTAGAGAGTGCTCCGAGGGGACTGGAATCGCGCTGGCTCCGAAGGACAAGGGGCTGTTTCAGGCTTCACTGTCCCTGGAGAACAGCATGCCAGGACTCAAAGCCTGCCATCGGGAATGAGTGTGGCTTCCCACAGACTGAGTGGAGGGGGCCCTCGCTTCCTGTGACCGCTGTGATAACTTGTCACAAACTGGGTGCCTTGCAGCAACAAGTCAGCCCTCTCACCGTCTCAAGTCAGAAGCCTGAAACCGGTATATGGGGATGAAATCAGGGCGGTCTGCCTAGAGGCGGTGGCAGAGTCTGTTCCTGTCCCCGCTGGCTTCTGCGGCTCCCTCCTTCCTGTTCCTTGGCCTCCTCCTCTCTGCCTGCCTCTCCCTCTTCTGAGGGTGCATGTGCCTGCTTTAGGGCTCACCCTGATAAGCCAGGACAGTCTCCCCTTTGCAAGATTCTTACTTTAATAAGGTCTGCAAAGTCTCTGCCGTTGAAGGTAGCCTTTACACGTGGGTTCCCGAGATTCACAGGCCAGTATTCAGCTTACTACAGAGGGCGTGTTGGGACAGAACCAAACAGATAAGGTTAGAAAGAGAAACCAACATTTTTTTCTTTCTTTCTTTCTTTCTTTCTTTCTCTCTCTCTCTCTCTCTTTCTTTCTTTCTTTCTTTCTTTTTCTTTCTTTCTTCTTCTTTCCTTCCTTCCTTCCTTCTTCCTCCCTCCCTCCCTCCTTTCTTCCTTCCTTCCTTCCCTCCCTCCTTCCCTCCTCCCTCCCTCCTTTCTTTCTTTCTTTCTTTCTTTCTTTCTTTCTTTCTTTCTTTCTTTCTTTCTTTCTTCTTTTTAAAGATTTTATTTATTTATTTGACAGAGAGAGAGTTAGCGAGAGCAGGAACACAAGCCGGGGGAGTGGGAGAGGGAGAAGCAGACTTCCTGCTGAGCAGGGAGCCTGATGCGGGACTCGATCCCAGGACCCTGGGATCATGGTATGAGCTGAAGGCAGATGGTTAACGACCTGGGTTACCCAGGTGTCCCAGAGAAACAGAGGACATTTTCTAGTGCACCTGCCTTCCTGATTGCAATTTGAATTTTTCTGCAAGGCGGTTATCTGAATGAACACTGTCATTCTAGAGAGATGCATCCGGATGCAGTGGGTGGATCAGAAAGAAGGCTGGAGGTGGGGAAACCGTACAGGGTGTTGTGTTAACCTGTGACTGAAGTCACTGACGTTGGCAGAATTCTAACTGATAAACGACCCTCATTCCTTTCCCTGTCTTTCCCCGTCCTTTCGATCACAAACCTGGAAGCCTTATCTTGAATTTATCTATGACCCTTACTTTGCCATCCTTCTTTTACGGCTGTCTGAACCCACGAAAACCCACCAGCTGGCGGAGGCCGGTTTCATTTCCAGCGTGCAGGTGGGAAGGCACACTTTAGAAGCTGGATTTAGAAGTGGATTGTCTTTCCTAAACCGTCCTGGGAAACAGTCTGGATCCCGACGGTGGCAGGGCCTGCTTCTCTGTGCAGCGATTCCCTCTGTGCAGTGATTCTGAGCAGGCGTCAGCCCTCCCGGTGGGTGCTGGCCAAGAGCGGCTTGGCTTCTACTTTTGGCGCTTCTGCAAGAAACACGTGCCTTTGAATTCTCCTGCGTAGCATCCCTCAACTCGGCGCCTCTGACTCTCTTTCAAGTTCATCAGAGGCCAGATCACCCCCGTGAGAGTATTTTTCCCTTTCAAGTTCTTACAAACACCCAAACTTGCATATGGAGAAGGATGTGCAGTTCTCGAATGTAACTGCGGGTGAAGGTCATGGTGGGATTCTGGTATAATTCTCAAATGGAGGTGACTGTCAAGGAGACTGAGAGACCAGAACACGTAAAAGGCCACAGAGAAGTTATGAAAAAAGGCAGCTGGGGAAAGTCATGTTTAAAGTGATGTCAGTAAGGCTGTGTGTGGGTTATAATGAAGTTTCTATTTTACCTCCTTGGAAACAATTACAGAAGTGTCCAAACGCAAGTGCCGGGGCTCCCTACCTGACCAACCACCTGGGCCACACTCTGCTGAACCTGTCAGCCTTCCACCTGGAGGAGTATTTGCTGGTGCCGTCGGAGAGACCGAGGTGGGTGCAGACTGTCCCTGGGTCTTTTCTGTTCTGCAAGTTACTGTGAAAATCCTATTGTTTCAAGTGCCGACATTCTTCTTCTTCTTCTTTTTTTTTTTTTAAAGATTTTATTTATTTAAATCTAACACAAGCAGGGGGAACAGCAGAGGGAGGGGGAGAAGCAGCGTCCCCAGCTGAGCAGGGAGCCCAGTGCAGGACTCGAACCCAGGACCCTGGGATCATGACCTGAGCTGAAGGCAGACACTTAACCAACACAGCCACCCAGGCGCCCCCTCAAATGCCAACATTCTTTTTTTTTTAAAGGTGGACAACGTGATGATTTTTTTTTTATTCTTATATTAATCCCCATACATTACATCATTAGTTTTAGATGAAGTGTTCCGTGATTCATTGTTTGTGCATAACACCCAGTGC